TTGTCTTTTTTGCAATGTTTATTATTCATTTTCTTTTTTAGTATCCTTTTTTTGGTATGTTTGGTTTTCTTTCTTTCTTTCTTCCTTTCTAAATATTTCTTTATTTTTTACCAATTAAAGCCATTTCGCACTCAGTCACATCTATTCAGAGTAAAAAAAGAGATAAAAACGGATAAGACGTTTATTATAATCGTAGATAGGCAGATAGATAGATCGATTGATAGTATGGTTAAAGTTAGAAGAGAAAACACGAAAGAAAAAGAGATGAACGAAGGAGGTGACTACTTCCATTGATATATTATTACTACTTATATACAGTATAAACAGAGAGTCATAAATTATAATAAGCCGAATGTTCGATTGATTAGTTCATTCAATTCATTAATTGCTTAATGAATAAATTAAATCTTTAATAAAAGAATTAAATCAAAGAAAGTACTTACCGCTTAGTTCTTTCCTTTTCAGAAAAGCCCGAACGTTACCTTGCTGATGAATATTAATAATAATGAAATTAGAAAAGTAGTTAAAACACAGATAAGGAGGTAGAGGAGGATGAGGAGAAAAGGGATAGGAATACGAATTAGGATAATCGTCAAATGGAATATGCATATTAAATCTCAATAAATATAAGGGAAAGATTAATTCTTTAATTAATTCAATACAGCTATTCCATAATTGGTTTACAATCATTTTTACCTTTTCCTTTTGTTTTCGTATCAAGCATTTCATTAAGTTTTGAAAGTTATCATTGGGTATTATATCTTGCCCGCCATTTCCAGGAATAATAAATAGACTGTCATCGTCATCGTCCTCTTCGATAGGTGCACAACTTATCGATGAAACATAGAAAACCGATAGAATGAAGAAAGCCGTTAAAAACTTCATAATTCCTTTCTCAGAGAGAATCTTTTAGCTGTTTCTTCCCGAGCTCGACAGAGAGTGTAAAATTCTTTTCCGTGTATCCTCTGTAGTGAGGGCGTGTTGTTATGAATATTAATTAGTTGGCGTGTACCTCTTACTCTACTTCTACGTTTGACACAAGAAATTTTAGAAAACGATATATCAACATATCAAACTTTAAAAATATTTGAACAATACCAAGCAGAAGAAGAATGAGGAACAAAAGGGGAGATGAAGGGAGGCGGGAATGGAGGAAGAAAGGAAGGATTAGATTGTCGGGGAGAGAAAATCAGAAATAATGTAATTGCAGTCTTTAGAGCTTAAATACCCAAAGATTTATATTTTCTAATAACTTTCATAGAAATCTATTCTTTTTTTCCTGTATTGTCTATATATAGTAGATGAAGATGACAATCTTAAGGAAAATTACTCTACTATAGATGGTAAAATAAAAAGGAAGACGGAATAGAGAAATATAGAAAAGGGATAGAGATAGAGAGAGAGAGAGAGAGAGAGAGAGAGAGAGAGAAAGAGGGAGACAGACAGGCGGATAGAGTAAAAGAATATACCATAAAAAAAACTTTTATCTTTATCCTTTTGTGTGAAAACATCTTTTAAACTTTAGTTTTCCTTCTTGAGAAGCTTTATAAGGGTGATTAAATCCGCTTAAGCGGGATAGGGAAATCGACAGATTTAAGAGAAAGACAAGAGAAAGACAAATGGTTAGTGTTGGATTGGATATAAAAGAATTGATTAGATATTTTTTAATTGTCAAAATGGTATTGTATTACGAAATATTACGCTTAAATAAGCAATTTTTTTTTATAATATTAAAATATAATGATAGGATAAACAGGGAATAATTCGAGAAATATGACAAAATAAATGCTCATAAATTTCTTTAGCCTTTTCTTTTATTTTCTTTTTTTTTTAATTCTTCAATAACGTTATTCTTCAGACATTTAATCTTTTAACGTATATTTTTATACATTATCCACTCCCCTTCCTCATCTCTCTCTCTCTCTCTCTCTCTCTCTCTCTTTCTCTCTCTCTTTCACACACACACATATTCATATATACACCTCTCCTCTTTAAAAAGTTTCACACTTCTCGTTTACCAATCTCTCATCATCTCATTTGATGAATAATGAGATATTTTAGTAAAGAGGAAAAAGAAGGGTAAGGTTCTTAGTCTCTGCGTATATGTAGAGGTGTGTGCGTGAAGAGAGGGGCAGGGGAAATGAGCCAGTAAAAGAGGAAGCATAACAAATTTATGAAAAAATTGTGACAATTTTATTAATCAGTAATTTTGGTATTTAAAAAGAGAAAAGAAGAATAATAAAAGCAGTTCTATATTTAGCTGTTTCTTGTACTATTATTGAAAATGTATATCTAGTATATGAATTAAAAAGTGTTAAAAAAACAAAACATAAAAACAATAGAAATAGTTGAAAAAAATTTCACTTTGTTCTTAAATAAAGAATAAAAAGTAATGTAGTAAACAATGATATAAAGTGTATTCATATATATAAATTCTACCCAAATATACTATTCATTCTCTTAGAAATTCTATGCTTTCTTTTATTCTTAAATTCTTTCACTTTCTTACAATTTACAGATTCTTCCTCCCCCTCCTCCCCCTCCTCCACATCTCAATCTCTTTTACAGGCTCAACTATCTGTCTAATAATCAATAATTGACAATATAACATTTTTTACTATTCGTTTATCATTACTTAAAAACTTGTCAAGTAATTTAATAAGTTTCTTTAAGAAAGATTATGACGATTATCCTGAGTAAACATGATAGTATTTCTTTTATTTCTATGTCTATTCAACTGAAAAAGTCACTACCTTTCATACTCTTAGGAAAAAATCAGGCGAATGTTTTGTTGTAGACTACTGATATCTCATAAAGCTTGACCTTTACTAGTGGAGTGTGTATATTATGTATTATTTGTTTGTTTCCATCAATGTAATGTTATTAAAATTTCTTGTCCTCTTTTTATGTAATCTTTCTTTCTTTTTGTGTGTTTTGTTGTCTGTATGTTTCTGTTTCTGTCTCTCACACACACATACACACACACACCTACACACCCTTTCTCTTTCTCTCTCTCTCTCTCTCTCACGTAAATATTCATAAGTTTGTCAAGAAGTTTTTAACTTTGTCTTTTTGCCAATAAAACCGTATCGCCATCTGTTGATTAATTGAAAACTATAGAAAAGTTTCTTGTATTTGAAACTCTGAAAAATAACACCCAAGAACTACAAGATGGAAGGAGGCAATAAAAAACCACAATAAAGACATGGGAAAATGCAGAAAAATTTAACAAGCCAGGATGAGAATGATGATAGAGTCAAAGTTTAGTCACCTATACATGCTGAAAGAAATAGAGGTTATGTAGGAGGAAAGGGAAACGAAGAAGAGAAAGGGTAATCACTGAAATAGTTTGTAGCAAAATAAGTGGAAGAGAAAATAAGAAAATTGAATTTTATCACTATATTATATGAAATTAATGTATAAATAATGAGAATAAATAGATAGAAAGTAATTATATCGGGGGCCTAAAAAAGACACTAAGAGAGTATATCTTATTTACAGCGAAACGCTAATCGAGGTATAGATTTCGTGCCAGCAGTGTTGCTTAGAATAAGAGACAGATGTATATATATTAGTATATATATATTAGTATATATATACATTTATATAATATACATATATACAATATATAAAGTGTATTAAACAATTAAGTGCGAGTATTACGAAAAGGTTAGTATTTCAATCAATGAAATGCTACTACTGGAGAAATTACCAAATAGTTTTATAATGCTCGTATATAGAATGAAGAAGAGAAAGAGAGAGAGAGAGAGAGAGAGAGAGAGTAGAGAAGTTCAATCTAATTGCATATAAATCAACAAGAAAGGAGGAAAAATAGAAAATTTAGGTTGATTTAATATAGAAGATTCTTAAACACAATAGAAAGACATATGTGTAGTCTGAAGAATTTCTATTGTAATATTGTAAGTATATACAATACGGACCCTTTTCCAATTATTATAAATTTGCCTTTAATTATCCATTCTAAAGTTTATCAAAGTATAAGAGATTAATAGCAATTTCATACTATCCTATTATATTGCCTGTAACAAAGAATGATAAACTTGTTATCCAACCACGTACTAATTTTAATCCACTCCATACACCTGTATACTGTATGTATAATAGAGTTTTAATAATTTATTAAAAATTTAACCTATTTACATTCAATACGAAGAAGAGAAATGAATGCGAAAAGAAACGAAGAAAAAACTAAAGAAAACGATGAGCCAATCAACTCTTTCTTTCATTTTTAATATTTGTATTCGTCTCTTTTCTTCTCCTTCTTCGTCTTCTTATTCATTTCTTACAGCATAGCATAGATTTCTCCTATTCAAAAATATTCTTCTCTCTTCTTTAACAGCATCTTGCAAAAGAGAGAAATCTACTGGATTTCGTGTAATAAATTACAAATAAATATATTATAAATAAACAAACATTTTCGTATAATTAGACTAAATGCCCTTATTTATATCTTTCTTCTCTGCTCTCTTCTTGTTGAACAGTAACAAAGTAAAACAAAATAACCAATTCTTCATTTGCATATACATCTCAAACAGATGGCGTTGTAGGAGACAAGTGAACAAAACAAAAAGAAAAAGATAAAGAAAAGAAGCACTATTATCTACATTCTAGTAAAAAAAATAGAAACAGTAAAGCGTTCATTATTCTGTTTAATTAATATTCAATTAAGAAATATTTTCCAATTACTTTCTTTTCACTTTTTCTTTAAAATAACAAGGAGAAGAGGAAAAGAAACAAATCTTTTTCCTACTTTTAATCTGCTCTTTCTCTCTCTGTCTCTCTCTCTTTTGCTTTTTTCAAGTAAAATCTTCAATAAAGAAATGAAAAGAAAAATAAATAGAAACAAAAAACACCAAAACAAAATATTAGAAATAAATAGAAATAAATACAAATACAAAAAGAAAAGACGGTTTTGCTTTTGAATTGTCGTTGTTGCTCTCTAATAGAAAAATTCTCAATTTGCTCTTTGAAACAATGATTCAGGAATACAAGACGAAATTCTTCAATCTGGCTGGTAATGTTAAGGATTGAACTCTCTCTTCCATATTCTTTTTACCGATACTCTTTCTTATAATCCTTCGGCACAAGTCGGCTAATGGCATAGGTTCCGCTGTTTGAAAAAATAATTGAATGAAATTAGAATGCAGGTTAACTTGTTTTTTATTTAAATAGATTTCTATTCTTGTTTATTTGCGCAAGGCCAACGTGTTTTTTAGCTTATATTAACCATTTGCAAAGAAAATCGTATGGGTATACGAAAACAAATTATTGGCTATTTATAATAGGTGCTATATATTCAGGATGGGACAGTATACACTCGGTGGACGGATGGATGAATAAATAGACTGATAGACAGATAGACAGAAAGAACGAATACGCGGCGAAAAGATAGAAAGACAGATAAAGAGACAGAGAGTGAAAGAGAAAGTTATATACAATGTAATACAAGTGTTAATTGTATACATGTTCTGTATATATCTACAAATGAGTTTTATCTTTGCTTATCTCTGGTTAAGGAAATAAGCGTTACGAGTTTCTTTGTTCACAGAAACGGCGCCCCGCCCACCGAATATGTCTATTTTTAGAACAGAAAACGCGCATCTGGCGTTTTATTTTCGAACTAAAAAAGCGGATACCTACCATCTAAACCGGCCAGATAATGCATGGAAATTTCGCAGTGCCCCCAGACGGCCGAGACGACTGGGTATAAGGTTTTTCCCTTTAAATTCCTAAAGGCAATTCCGAGAAATTTCCCCCCTGACAGAAACGAGAGCGTTCCCTCATCCATATCGAGAACAACTTGAACGCTATTGGCGGCTACAAAATTACTTTGACAAGGATAAGAACCAACAGGAGTCTTTGAACCATGTAATAAGCGATTTCTTCCCAACTCCCAACCCCAAGAATCCGTACCAGACCCAATTAACGAGTGATAACCAACGCAATGTAAAGAGGCTTCTTTCGTAGCAACGCCGACAACGGCATGCGTTCCTCTTTGTTTAATGGGCCAATGTATTTGCCAGACATGAATTCCCTTTGTATAACCGATCTGAAAAGATAGAAATATTAAGTAAGATAATTCTATTAATTGTATATACAGTAGTAGTATATCATATACATTTATATTACTATATATTTATATATTGTATTATTATTTTTCTATTGTATGGACTTTGCGAGTTTAAGAAAACAATTGAAAAAACTCTATTCTTTTTTAATAATTGTTTTAAGAGAGTTCACAGAGCAAAAGTACGTATATTTTTGACAAACAAGCTTTTAAAAATACTCGTTACTATTGCTCTCTCAATGTCCTCTCTACCTAACCATCTATTTATCTCTTCTCACCTCTCCCCTTCTCTCCCTCTCCCTCGCTACTTATCTTGTGTTTCGTTTCATTTTATTTGTATACTCAATCATTCAATCACTATCCACCCATCCACCCACCCATTCATCCGTCCGACTCTTTTTATCTGTCTCTCCCTTCAGGCTTTCAGGTCAGAATGACCTGGAAAATTATATACAATTTCCAACTCTCTTTAGCAATCAATTTAATTAAAATCAACACAACTAAAGCGCAAAGAAAACAACAACTTTCCTAATCGCTGTCGTCTTGTTCTAATCAATTTACAGCTCGTTTTAGCCACTATCGTCTAAAATATCACACCAATTCACCCTTTCCCCATCCGTCGTTCCCCTCCCTCCCCTACCTTAATAAGCCAATTATCTACAGATTAAACTTTTACTCAATTCCTTTCTAGCAAAAAAAAATATTTCAGTTAGGCCTAAATGTAAATAGCATTAGGCAAAATAAATTCGGTATGCGTAATCATAGTATTTCTAGGAGTATCTTATCAATTCAGTAACTGGATTTAGTAAAGGATTTCCATGTCTATAAATAGATGATAGTTGTAGAAACAAAAATAAAAAAGAAGGCGAAGGAAAAGGAGTATTGCTTTTATTTATTCACTCATTCATTCATTCATGCATTTATTTATTCTCTCTCTCTTTCTTACGCTCTTTCTTTCTCTCTCTCTGTCTTTCTTTCTTTCTTTCTCTCTCTCTCTGTTTCTCTCTCTCTCTCTATCTCTATCTCTCTGTATTTCTCTCTTCCTCTCTCTTTCCCTCTTCACCTATCTACCTTTTCTCTCTCTCTATATATATATACTATTAGTAAATAATAAACTGAAACTTGTGCAATGAAGAAAACAAAGAGGTAAGTAGGATGATAAAATATAAAAAAGAAGCAGTTGAGGTAAAATGATTATAGCTACCTTCCCCCTTATACAGTCCGTACTTTGGGCTACTGGATGTCTATGGAACGTAAAAGGATCATCATCCTTAACGAAAACATTTAATGATCGATCTTCATTATTCCAAGCATGCAACGCCTGTAATTCCTTTGGTAATCTTGGTAATTCCAACAGAAATTCTAATCTTGACGGTTTTTCCAGTTGACTAGCATTGTTTACAGGTCTTTCCAGATTTCTGCGCTTTTTGTTTGATTCTTTTCGCCTTTCGAATTGCAGTTCTATTTTTGCGCAAGACACGTGCAGCATTTTCGCCTGTGATATAAAAGAGCTTCTGAGATCTTTCTGTAGAGATTCAAACTGCAGCGCCACCTACACGAGTCTAAAAATACGTAACGCGCTCCTTGCTTCGCGGTTAAACGCGTCGTCACGTGACCATCGATGTCGGAAACAGGAGTAGTTCTTTGTCTCTTCCCCAGGGTTTCTCTTCGGACCTTTTAGCGATAAGCATGCGGGAGAGATAGCACGATACCCGCCACCTTCCGGTAGTTTTATTGTAATATGAGTAAAAGTCTTTTTTAGGAAACAGATTTTCTATTTGGGGTTTATGGACGAAAGAAAGAACGAAGAAAGAAATAAATAGAACATTTTTTTTTCTTTTCTTTCCTTTTTGTCTCGTTTTGAATGAGTTTCTTGAACAAATTCTTATTGAATAATACATCAAATATAAACCTTTTACATTAAGTAAGATATTAAAAAGATATAAATAAAATGTGGAGAGGTTAATAACAGATTTTGTTTGCTGTTCAAAACGGAAACAAACACTATAGTTACGTTGATAGAAAATGAATGAAGGAAAGGCGAATAGGAGGATAAAGATAGGGATAAGGGCGAACAATATTGAATATTTTAAATACGACACATTTACAAGGTGAAAATGTGCTCCGTTTTCTTATTTGTTGATGGAACCGGATGTTGAAGAAACGTAGACTGATTCACTTTTCTTTTCCTTGTTTTCAGACAAGAGGCAACCGCAAAACATTTTTACGGCCTTTCTTCTAAATTTATCATATTGCAAAGTGTACAGAGGAGGATTAATGATGGCGTTTGCAACGTGAAAGAGTACACTCATTTGATAGACATCTCCAAAACTCATGTTGTTACCGGCACTCAACATCATGAAATAGATGGCGTTAAAACTATTACACACCGCAAAGCCAACTGTAACTAATAGTAAAGTTTTAAATAAGGTTTTTTGAGCGGCAAACTTTTTCTTTTGTTGCGCATCCGATTCTTTAATCATAGTATTTTGCTGTCTTATCTTATAGGCCATGTGAATATTTGTCACAATAAGAAAGATAAATGGTACAAGCCATTCAATAATTACTTTCATCATACCGTAAAAGTTTTTGACTTCTTCGCTTGGGAAATCAATCCACGCAATACAATTACGATTATCGTTCACTTTTGCCGGTATACCAATAAAGAATATTCCATATCCCAAGCCCCAGAACCAGACTATGAACATGGTAATTTTTATTCTATGCTTAGTCACTAATCTCTGATGTTTTAATGGGAAAATAATGGCTATGTAACGCTCGGCTGTCATTAGGCATAAATTTAAGGTTGAAGCGTAATAACCTCCCCATAATGCGCCAGTTATATGCCAAAATCTGCAATAGATCTCCCTAACCCAAGCCCAAGGAATATCCGGGGTAAAATCATCCGAAAAGATATTCATAGCAAAGTAGATTATTAGTATAATAGAGCAATATAGATCGACGCATGATTGGTTAACTAAGAGAATATCGTGAATTTTCATCGACTTGGCGTATAGAACAATTATGACGAGAACATTTCCCAAAATTCCAACAACGCCGAAAAAGTATGAGATTATTTTTTGTAATTCGTCACTAATCACATCAATTACCTCCTTCTTTGGTGGAGGTTCTACATTACCTCCAGTCGTTGAATCGTCCATTCCATATCCAATTGTATGATTAAAGCTAGAGTCGTTGTTCGTAAAGCAAACGCCGAATAAGACGAAAATGATGAAAAGTCGAAACATATTGAATAGCCGAATGAGAGAATTAGTAGCCACCTCCTACCTTTTAAATCTGTTCGACGAAAGCTTAAAAAGTATCATAGAAATCATAAAACATACTTTAACTATGATAATTGATATGCTTCATCTATCTCAACTATTTGATATCTTTTTTCTAAACTACCGGTTTCTCGCTTTGATTGGGAGAGGAACTTACAGTCGGCGATCATAAAAACCCTAAAACTTCAACTGATTCTCTCTTTCATTTAATTTATTTCTGAAATAAAAAAAAAAAAAACTCAACAAGACAAAACTGAACGAAAAACCAAAAAATAAGAGAAGCTTCTTCCGTTAATCTTCGAAGAGCATTTCGCCAAATTCTTTACTCTTTCTTATCTTCAATCGGTGACGTCTTGAACAGTTGGACGACGATATTGAATTAGTTGATGAAGAATAGCCGCTATACGTTGAACTTCTTGAAAGATGCTTCTCTTCGCTTATTTCCGATAATTTAGCTTTATCGACCTTTGGTATGTAACCTATCCTTCTCGTTCTTTCTATTAATTGAGATTTTTTAGTCAACTCTCCTAATTTACATTCGAATTCGTCTACTTCCTCTTCCAGTTTAATTGATTCGTTTTCCAGCTTTATCCTCTTCTCTTCTTCAATCTCTAATTGAGCATTTATCCGATCGATAGTTGCGGTATCGTTTACAAGTTTTGATTTTTTATCATCGTGGGTTCGGATCAAGAGATTCTCCAGCTGATATAATTTTTCATCTTTATCCTTTACGTGCTCCAATATAGCTATCAAGTCAGAATTCGTAGTTTGAAGATGTTCTTTAATAGCAGTATCAAGTTTTTTTGTACCAATTGATTTCTCCTTTTCTCCAATAAGGTTTAAAATCTCTGTTTTCTCCTTTACTAATCTGGCTTTTTCTCTGATAACAGTTTTCATAAAATTCAAGAGATGGCGCAAATTTTCGCTAAAAGCTCCTAAAGATAGAGAAAGGAAAGGAAGAGAGAGAGAGAGAGAGAGAGAGAGAGAGGAAAATCATACATTAATTAAATGCTGTTCAAGGTGAATTAAAACAAGATGCTTCTAACTTACCATCCATTTCGGCTATCTGACCTCTATTTATTTTTACATAATCTCTTATCTGATCTGTTAATTGCTTGACCTTGGATTCGATTTTATCGTTTGATTGAATCTTTTCTTTCAATCGCTGTTTATATTCTTCTAATTGCCTTTGCCATACGCTTTTGGCTACTTGCATTCGTAAACAGAGGAGATCCTTCATTTCTTCGAGAATATTCTCTTTCGAATCGGTTAATCTTTTACTTTTTCCTAGTTCATTCTGAACCAATTCGTAAGCTTCTTCCTTTATGTAAGTCTCAACGGACAGGCAGCCTTTCTCAAATTCAACTTCTATCATCAATTCGTCGCTAAGCGTTGGTGAAATTGAACGAATTAAAAGACAAAAATTTTCAAACACTTCGACCTTGTTGGATTGCTGTAATAACTCGAGCAATTTAATTATCTTTGTTGTAGGCGTAGATTCATTCTGTTAAATACATCAGTTAAATTGGCATTTAGAGAAAATTATAAATCAGCAGACAGTAGGTGCTACCATCTATCGGTTGATTAAGAAAAGATCAAGTTCATTCAACCAAACTGTTGCTTTTACGTACAGTACGCTTATTTGCATAAAATAGTGGGAAAAGTAAGAGGGGAGAAGATAGAAGGGATGATGAGAGTAGAAGAGAGAGATGGAGGACAAGAAAGTATTAAGTAATTAACGCGTAAATCCAATAACAAGAGAAGCGTTACAAAGAAAAAAGACTTGTACAAATTATCCCGTAGTCATAAAGAAGCAGAAGAAGAAGAAGAAGAATAGAGAAAGCGTACTAGAAGATCACTCTTAAGGATTATCTCTATTCCGGATTACCTGAATTTGATCTAGTTGACTGTTGCTGATTAGATTACTGGATTTGATGATTTTTGAGAGTGAACTATCCCAGTTTAAATTTTTGATAATTGACGATCTCTTCCTCCTCAGAACCTTTTTTTCGTACTCGTTCATTGTATATGTCAAACATTATGCAGATTGTTGACGACTTACCATAGGAACGAGCTGAATAATTCAGTAAATTTCTCATCACTTAAAAACAGGAGAAGATAGGGGCAAAGGGGGTGGGATAAGATGGGCGGGTGATCAATAAACGTATATCGGAGCTATTTGATGTCTAGCACCACCAACGTTGAATCATCAAGAAAGAAAGCAAGCAAGTAAATAAATAAACAAAAGAACAAACAGACAAACAAGTAAACGATTATTAATTCTAATGAAAGAAGGTGGTAATTCATTTTTGAGTCAATTTTCTTGAACAGTTAATAATCTATTGAATTATGGGCAGTTGTTGTTTATTCAATAATTTTTTATAAGGAGAATAATTGACAATTGCCAATAGATTTTAGTTGAAAAGTATTAATGGCATCTTTAAAAGATAGAATAGAAGAAAACTAAGGGAAAATTTAACAAAGACTCTTTAAATAATTGAAAATTCAACCTTTTTCTTTCAATTTCTCTTCTAATGTTGTACAACAGCTAATCCACAGGGATAATTTTATTAATTAACTCTACAGAATAATAGATTTTTTTTACTTATACCAAACCAACACATAACAATACACACATACACACATCCTCTTCAAAAAAGAGAAAGAGAAATTTCCCATTGCTATATATGGCTCAAAGATTTTCTCTTCTTTCTTATTTACACTGAGTCATTTTTATAGTAGACAATTTGATAAAAATAGTCAATTAGGATTAATTTATGTAAATTTAAGACTTGACATTGAATTGCACCAAAACTACAAATGAAGCCTTTCGAGCATTTTTCTTTTTTTTTTTTATTTAAAACCTACTACTGAAGCGAAAACGGCAGCAGCAAAGAAAAAAATTGCTACAGTTACTTTTTCCCTTTGATTTCTTTGAATTTCTATATGAAATTTTCTATTTAAAACGAAAAAAAAAGAAAGTTGTCTAATTTCAATTACCAGACCTTATTCCCGTGAAAGAAATACCTCTCTCTTTTCGCATTTACGCATATTTTCTGATAAGCAAATGTAAAAGAAAATATCAAATTTTTGATAGAAAAACGAGGGGAGAGAGAGAGAGAGAGAGGAAAAGGGGAAAGTTATAAAAATAGCATTTACTTCGTATTTAAACTCTACCTTTTTATTCTAATTAAATGAAATATTTATTTAGTTACGGTAATAAAAGTAGCGAAAACAAAAATATATCTTTAACCATATACAGCATATTATATAAATATATATATTAATATATGCAATCCTATACAAATGTATACTTTTTATAGTGAAAGGTATATATCAAACATCTTATTATTTTAATTAATTGAATTTAAATACACGAAAAAGAGAAGAGGAACGAAAGAAGCAAAAGGAAAAGGTGTAGATAAAGGAGAAATTGGCTAAAAAGTAATACGAGTAATATGGTGATTTTTTGTTGCAATTAAATAATAAAAGGTTTTAAAAGTACTCGAATATTGACGAATATAATAACGTTTTCCATTTAATAATATTGAGCCTTGTAAGACGCCATCTATGCATCTATGACTCGTTAAATATAGTAAACTGAAGGGTATTCTAACCTTGACAGGTTGAATATTTGCATGTTTATTACAAAAGATACAGTAACAACTGTGTCAGTACTAATGGCAAAGGGAGCGAGAGTGATGGTCATAAGTGTTGCTTTTAAGAGAATAGTTCTATAGTACAGTATAAACGATACGTAGAAAGCATACATACATTAGTAGACTGTATTTGTGCATGTGTATAACTATACATGAGCACGTGTATGCTAATCGTTATATCTCACATTTAAGCTTTTATTGCTATTACTTCAAGTAAATTTTAACAGAAATAGGTTATCTTTAGGGTTAAAAGTTCAAAGGATAAAGTTTACTATCTAATTCCAGGAGGAAATCATTCAACCGTAAGTTTGTGTTCTGGAGAAACGATCTAAAGTTCCTTCACTCATTTCTTCCAATCAATTCAAACGTATTTTTATTTTTGTTATTCTTGTTTGTTTGTGTGTATGATTACACATGTATGGTTTTACTATAATTATCTTCCTTTTTTATTCTATCGTCGTCTCTCTCCCCGTTCTCCCTACGTACTTTTTTTCATACAGAGAAGAAGAAGAAGCGAGTGCAAAGAAACAGAGAGCTAAGCTGTTGAGAGGATAATAATACATTTTTAATTTGAATAGCTATTTTTAAATTGAAATTATGAGAAAGTATCTTATCTAGATTGTAATACTCCAAAACTCATATCTACAAACCCGCATAACTACATACATACAGGCAGAGACAGTTTACTTTATATAGATTATTCTTTAAATGAATTTTAACTAACAAGCGCGTTTAGTACATTGATAACCTATACTTTCTATGGACGTTTGTCAGAGAGCATATTGCAGAGCTAATTGACTATTTTCACAACCAAATGACAAACGCCCTAGAAGCGCCTTTAGCAGAACTTGTTTTTTTTTACTTCTTTTTTCTTTTAAATCCTATTTGCCTATCGACAACCAAACACTAAAGTTTTTTGTAAAACGTCTACGGATACTTTGTTCAGGCGCTCCTTTCCTCAATCTTAATCTTGCGTAACGTCTCTCTTTGTCCGTCCTGTCTCATCATCTTCTAATATACAAACATATGCGTATATATTAGTATTGTTTATCTATATGTCTATACATCAATCTGTCTATATATAGTGGACGACAGGTATGTTGGAACACCTCAAATTTTTATAGGCCAAATATTAAAAATCTTTTTCGTGATGAAAAAAGATTATTTGTTTTATTTTTTTAGTGTTTAATAATAGGTTAAACTTGCAATTTTATATAAATTTCTTTAAAACAGCAGTTAGCTATGTTTTTACATATTTTTTTTTTATAGAAATTACCATAGTTTTCTGATATTTTTTTCTTATTTGGCCATGCGACATGTTTATTGGAACAATGTTCAATAGTTAAATTTTTGGTCTACTTTTGTATGTGCCCACCCTCTCTTTCTATACATTTGCTTATTCTACGGCCCATTCCCCCATATAAGCCTGGCAACAAGAGTGGATTTCTGTTGATAACCTTGTAGGAGCATTTCTTAATCTTTTCCCACAGTTCATCCTCTGTCTTGAACTGTGGACCATCATAGACCATTGTCTTGGTCAGATGCCACATGTTCTCTATTGGACTCAGATCAGGGCTCCTTGCTGGCCAATCTATTAGTTTGATGTCATTGCTTTTAAAGGCCCTTTTCATTTTTCTTACAGTGTGACAGCCAGCATTGTCTTGCTGGAAGATGTACTGCCTGCCCATTTTTGCCTCAATTTCTTCTATGACAGGCAGAACATCTTCCACAATGAAGGAGCTATAGTTTTCAGCATTCAGCTTGCTCCTTATCCTCCAGACTTCAAATATGCCGTCAGAGGTTATCAACCCCCACACCAATACTCCACCTCTCCCCATATTTTTTGTGACCCTGAAGTCCTTTTTGCTGTTACTGGTCCAAGTCCTAAAATCGTCAGGTCCACTTAGCGAAAACCTAGACTCATCAGTAAAAATAACCCTAGACCAGTCTAGATTTTCGCTAATAACTTTGAGGCAGTACGCTTTTCTGCATTTACAGTCTTTGGAGGTGAGATCAGTTCTTTGTCTGACTCTTTTATATTTGAAATTTTGTCTTTTCAGCTCCCTCTGTATTGTTCTTATGCTTACATCTACTTCTAATTCTTTTAATATCTTTGCTGCTGTCACTCTTTGCTTGTTATCTTTCAGTTTCTTTACAATTCTTTTCATCCTCGCTATCTCTCTGTCGGAAAGCTTCTTCTGACCTCCCCTATTGTCTTGTTCTGGCTTCTTATACTTTAGTATGTTGCTAATTGATGATGGTGCCATTCCTAAAACTCTTGCTGTTGCCCTTAATTTGCCTATTTCACTATATTTCTTGATTACCAAATCCCTTATATCTTGACTCCAAACCATAATTAAAAAAATACAATATAAATTATGTACAGTAATTTTTAATATTCAACAACTAATTAACTTAACTTAAAACAGGAAAAAAGTTGAAAAATTTTTTGTTTGAGACGTCTATTTGAATGTCAAACTGGATGTCAACTCAATGTTCCAATAAACATGTCGCGCGGCCAAATAAAGAAAACCCTTATGAAAATTATTAAAAATTTTTGCTAATAATCTTCACAAAATATTATCATTTTCTTAAATTTTTTTCAATATTATGTCAATTTAACTCTTTTTCTATATAAATTTAGACAAAAAATACTAATTTGCAGAGGACAAACAATTTTAACCGTTAATTAAAAATTGGCCTATCAAAATTTACGGTGTCCATATAAACATGTCGTCCACTTTATACAGTATATACTGTATAAATGTCAAGGTGTTTCAGGGAAACGGCGAGGCTTTTTCCTTCTCTTTTCTCTATTACATCTGATAAAGTTTCTCCCTAATCTACAAAGAATTAGATTGAATAGCGTAAAATATAGAATACATAATAAACTGTAAAAGATACTTAAACAAGTATATATTTAGTTTATAAAGCGTATAGTCTTTTTTGTTATAATTTTACGATTTGACGAATATTATTAAGCATTCACCGTAAGCATACTAAATCAGATTATTTACGGTTATTTAAAACATGCACCAATCAGTCTTGGCTTTTCTTTTTTTTCTCTATATTCTACGAAAAACGAAAGATTAGGAGCAAGCATTATTCTTATTCTCTCTCTCTCTCTCTCTCTCTCTCCTAGTTTTCTTCGAGCAAATTTACAAAAATATCAAGAGCAGTAGGACTTGTTAAGGCAGGAAAACTAGGAGAGAGAGAGAGAAGGAGACGACGAATAGACGAAAAGGCAAAAAAAAAGAAAAAAGAAAAGATAAAAACCTTACGACCCAATTTCTATCATTTAACATAAAATCATCCGTTTAGGCCTAACGTTTAAATCAAAGAAATTCAGGCTA